TCTTTTCTTTGTTCAAGAGTAAATCCCTTTCGTCATCAATTGTATTCATTTCTTAGTTCAGTTAGTTTGTTTTTTACTAGTTGAGGAGAAAGGTTTTTTTCTTTTTTTAAGTAATTAGCAACAAAATCAAACTCAGCAAGTGTTAAGCCAGCATTTATTCAGGAATTCCTTTCTTCTTTAGTGAAATTAAGTTTTATTCATTGAAGTTTTTGAGAGAAGTCTATTATTGGACCATTTTCTCATTTTGTTTCTATTTTCCCTTGTTTATCAGCAAATAAATTATAGATTATTTTACATTTAGCATCTTTTCCATATGCCGAACAAGAAAAATATTTCACACTCTCTGGTAAATACTCTAAACCACTATCTATATCAGTATCATTAATATTCAATACTTTTAATTTAGTTAAGTTTTGCAAAGTTTTTAAGGATCCACTAAGTTTATTATCAGAGCAATTTAGTTCCTTTAAATTTACAAAATCACTTAAATCTAAAACTCCGGTAAGATTTTTGTGACTAATATTTAAATATTTTATGGTGTTTCTTCAGTTTGGGGGATATTGTCAATCTAATCAATGTTGAGAATAACTTTTTTCTTGAAAGGCAGTTGCTGGAATGTAGTTATTTTGTCTTAAACAGGCAGCAAACTCAATATCTTTATAATCATTACTTCACTTAGGTTTTAAACCAACATCTATTCAGGATTTAGCTTGTTGGGGAGTGAAATTATGGTTTTTTCATTGTTTAATTCAATAATGATTATCTGGTGTAAATCCAAGTGGAATTCATTCTTGAGCATCTTGGTAAGTTAAGCCCAGTTTTTCTCAAATTTGCTGGTACGTTTTGTTTCGATAATTTTTTTCATCAAAATCCTTGTGTATATCGGTTCAATCAGTAATTATCTGTTCTCCTTTCGAGTAAAGTATCAAACTAATCCTGCCATAAGGGCAAATACTCCCACTCCCCCTAAAATCCAGGGTAAGTAATTTGGTTTAGAAGTATTGCTCTCTCTCTCTCTCTCTCTCTCTTCTGTGTGTGTGTGTGTGTGTGTGTGAGTGAAGATTTGCTTTGATTAGACCTGTTTTCGGAAACTTTTAAATTTTCTTTTTCTTGGGAGGATAAACTATCATATTGTCTTTGGCAATTAGCCGAGCAGGTATTATTAAATCTGGTTTCAAAATATCAGTTATCACAGATGGGGCAAATTTTAAAAAAGCTAGACCCTGATAATTCACCAGCTTTTTTGTCGTAAAAACGGACAATAACCGAACATACTTTTAACTTAAACTTTTCTTTTCAATTGCTTTTTTCTTTCTCTCAGCAATTTAGACATAAGTTTCTTTCTTCTTCTGTTTTTTCTTGCCTAGAATACTCATCACCAATGCTGATATTTATTCCTTTTTCTCAAATTTCCTGGCCACATTGAACACACTTAAATTCTTTTTCGTGTTCGGCACAATAACCTTTTCCTGGCAAAGGGGTCTTTTCACAAGGTATCAGTCCGGGAACAATGGCTCGGCATCTTTTTCTTTGGTTGCCTCCTGCTGGTGTTTCTGACATACTACTAAATCATTCCTTTCAAAACTTCTAATCTACTAATCATTTGCTTAGGATTAATAGCTGGTTGTTGGAGGTGTTTAATTAATTCATCCAATTCTTTAATTACAGCTAACTTATTCATAATACTAATTTTAGCTATATCATAATTTTTTAAAGATGATTTTGTAAAAGTTCTTTTAATTCTGGTTTATTTATAATAATTATCTCTCATCTTCATTCTCTTTTTCTTTTTCCTGCTCCTGCCGTTCTTGCTCTTGTCTTTCTTTTTCT